GGGGGGGGGGGGGGGGGGGGGGGAGAGGAGGAGCATGCAATCTAAATAGCTTGCATGTGCAGTTTACTGTAGGGTTCGCCCTCTAATGAGAATCTAATGCCTGATGATCTGAGGTGGAGCTGAGATGGAGATGCTAGCACTGGGGAGCAGCTGCAAGTACAGGTGAAGCTTCGTTCACTCGCCTGCCACTTATCTCCAGCTGAATGGCCTGATTCCTAACAGGTCATGGGGTTGGGGACCCCTGATTTAAAGGGTTTGACACCAAGAGCAGAATTTCAGTGGAACTAACTCAGGAATGAACAGTAATTTAGAGCTATCTGGATTACTTTTTATTTTTGCAAGCTACCTGTGCAGGCTAGGCTGGGCTGAAAAGGAAGAGGATTCTTGAGAATTTTAGGTGGGCAATCTTGCTCAATCAAATAGAGCAGGGGTCCCCAACCTGTGGGCTGCGGCCCGGTAGTGGTCTGTGGTCTGCCGGCCACTGGGCCGCGGAACAGGCTGGCCAGTGTGCACACATGTGCGCGTGCACACCCACTTGCACTAGCTCTGTGGCCACGCCTCAGGGCACAAAAATGGGATGCCGCTGCGCCTTGGTGTGCGGAAATGGGGCGCTGCACCATACAAGAATGGGGTAGGGTTAGTGAGCATCATGCAGGCGCTAGCCCTGCCCCGTTTGCATTGTGTGTGTGCTTGTGGCCCCGTGCATGCGCATGTGCATATAAAATACTTCCCCCTCCCTTTCCGTCTGGTCCGTCAACTGAGAAAGGTTGGTGACCTCTGAAATAGAGGTTTCTCTTTAGCAGACATCTGAGATCAGCTATCAAACATTTTTCACAAAAAACAGGATAGAAATACATAAACAACTTGTATTTGAATATGTCTTTTGATTCTTATTTTTTGCTTTGCCACAAATTTATTCATGAGAACAAATACAGAACAGAATTTTTAAAAATTCCCTGGAACTGTGTGGATTCTAAATAACACTTTTGAGAAGATGCTAAAAATCCATTATAAGGTAATGCCTACGATAAAAAATTTCTTTCAATATAATGTGACAGAATATTTAAACATTTTCCTTTTCCCATGTTTTACCTGCTGCTTTTCCTGAAGCCCCATAACAACTAAAGGAAAGATGGATTTCATTTTCTAAGGTTGCCGAAAATGAGGCAAATTTGCCCACAGGTTTTCCTTGATTAATTGTTTTTTCTAAAACAAAGGAAAATGAATGTTTATGTCTGAACATGTAACAATTATTACAAATGTAGCTATTATTTCCTGATGAACAGGGCACTGACTTTTGGTTCACTGACTGATAGTTCACAAAAAAAAATTAAATTAGGTAAAAAAAGCCTCTCTCAACTGGTAGAACTCTAAACTGCTATAAGAAGCTTTATTAATAATACTGAGGTTCTAAATGAAGAGAACATTAGGAATTGACTCATTTTTGAAGAGAAACCATTTCAGGAAGCAACCTTGTTTTGTAGGAGCCACTTATTTGGATACAAAGTATTATAATCACTACACAGATTTCCGTACCGTACTAGTATAGAATAATCCAAGATTCTGGATGATAGGACAGTATTTACAGCATCAAGGTAAAAATCTGTCACAGAAAAGGTATTGCAATAAGATAATGCTTTCAGGCAGAGTCCAAAACACCTGGATTACTTCAGTGTCCACTTAAGCCAGGGGTGTCAAACTCGCAACGTCACGTGACGACATACAGTATCGTGACTTTTTTGCCATTGCCGGTAATGGGGTGGGCGCAGTTTCGCTATGATGCATCCGGCCCGCGGGCCAGCAGTTTGACACCCTGACTTAAGCAAAGCTGAAGTTAATTGGTTAATTGGCAAAGCTTTAGCAGGGCCTCAGTGCTTTCCCAAACATTTGAGGGGTTCATTAAAGGCTTTCATCAAAATCATCATGATGTTCAAAAGAGGTGGAACTTCATCATCTGCCCTAGAGATCCCTGGGTGCTGCACTTCCAGATCAGATCAGCTCACAGAAGACAAATTTGATGTCTAATCTTCCACTTATACATAAGGAGAAAAGATATACACACTTATCATGGACAAAGATGTTTTGGAAGCATTAATTGCACAAGTCTGTGTTTAATTAACCAAAAAAAAATTCTTTCTCTCTCTTGTACTAAGAAAACTACAGGTCTCTAGTATGCTTCACTGGGAAGATTCTATGCAAGAAGTCTCAGCCAGGGTGGGCAGTTCTGAGCTTGGACAAGAAACTGAATCCAGATAAATTTCTAGATAAATTTGGCTCAGCTGGTTAACAGAAACAAGATTTCTGCATGATACCATACAGTCCAGCGCCAAATATGGAGCCACTGCAGACAGCTCAAGATCTTTAGGCCACTCTGAATATTGAAAACTGTGACTGGGGAGGAATTAAGTTTAAGATGTAGATGTAGAAGGAAGTATAGTGAGGTGAAATAAATTGTACATTAGTAGAGCAATCAAAGATTCTCCCTGGACAACTCAATTATCACTCCTCTACAGATGGTGGAATGTCCTTGATTCACACATTAGAGAAGATATAAAACTAGCAAGCCAAGAATTATAAATTGCGTTGCAGTCTTGGAATAAGTGACCTTTAATGCCTGATTCCAAAGACTTACTCTTAAGAGAAAATAATGCCTTTGACTGAGTTGCCTTGTAGAGACCTGATATATGTACAAGAGATGGGCAAACCAGGAGCCAATTTCTAGCACCTGGCTAGAAACCAGGAAACTGTGAGTTCTAATCCCACTTTAGGCATGAAAACCAGTTAGGTGACTTTGGGCTGCTCACTCTCTCTCTCAACCAAACTCACTTCACAGGGTTGTTGTTGTTGTGGGGAAAATAGGAAGAGGTATAAGGTATGTTTGCTGTTTTGAGTTATTTATAAAAATAATAAAGGCAAGATAAAAAAATCTAAAATCAAATAAAAATTTGCTTCTCTAGCATAATATTTAAAAGTCATGCTTGCTAGAGAAGGGATATTTCTTCTCAAAATAGTCAATGAATAGGGAACAAAATAACTGTCATGATAAATATCCAAAAACAATAAATGTTTTGGAGAGGCTTAAATAATGTGCTACCACTGCTTATTAAAAAAAACCAATTTAGAGTATTATATTAGTAAAACTGCATATAGGAATATGCACTATATGGAATTTGGTATAGATGTAAAGCTTTTATAAGTGAATCAGAGAAACTGCGATGAATGATGGATTTTGCTACTCAAGGGAATGGTTGCACACAAAAAGAGAAACATGCATTTCTGAAGCATTTTTATGAATAATGAAACCATGATTTGGTCATTTATAGTTACCTAAATGATTTTTTTAAAATATTCACTCAATTACCTGGCTTTATCTCATGTTCTTCTAGGGAACCAAAACTTTCTTCTTCATCTATTAGTCTTATCTGAGGATCTGTTATATGAATGAAAAAACTGTGGTTATCTTTTATCACCTTCACTTTAACTAAGGTTGACCCTAGAAAAAAGAAAACAAAAAAATAATTAGTATCAGAATGGGCAGTCATGATTCTAATGTTAAATAATCCATATAACAATTACATTATACAAATTGCTAGAACATTTGCTGAACATCTTCTGAAGTTAGATATAGCTTCCTAGTTCTTTTCCATATTAACTTATCTAGTATAATCTTTAAAGTAAAATACATACCGGTAAATAAGTATAATTTTCAAAAACAAAGTGCATACAGAATTTTCTTAAAATAATACTTTAATTAAATTGATTTGTTGATACATAAATATCCCCATAGAATTTATATCAATAATTAACTTCCTCTGTCTGGCATATTAATTTTGATTAGTGATACGAAATCATTTTTAAATAGCACTGTCAGAATTTAATAATTTTAAATATCAGAATTCAAAACACACATATCAAGATCTATTGAGCTATCTCTTAGTGAACTTCCTTCAATGTATGTTTCTTTGCATTTAATTTCTTCTAATACATTTTGTGTATTTAGAGTTGAGAATGGACTCAGTTAAATAACATGTCAGTTTGTCACATTGTTTCAACTGTTCATTTTATATTAAAGCAAGTCCTATTGAACATAGCTGGGCTTAAGACCCTATATCAGTGGTGGCGAACCTATGGCATGCGTGCCAGAGGCGGCACTCGGAGCCCTCTCTGTGGGCACAAGTGCCATTGCCCCAGCCTCGCCTCCCCCCACGATCCCCTCCTCACCAGCAGCCCCCCCTGGAGGAGAGTCGCCCCCGAGCGTGGCCCACACGGAGCAGCAAAGCCAAGGACATGGCAGCCAGGCAGCGTAGACAAGACTCTGCCCTCACGCCCCATCCTGCACAGTTGATGCTGCGGGGTGTGGGCAGAGGGCATGGCCACCATGGCGCTGCTGGGCTGCCTGGGCAATCTGCGGCAGGCCCTGAAGGCGATGAGTGGCCCTGCGGGCAGGCGGGGTGGGGGGGCGGGGGATGGGGCGGGGGCGGGGCAGGAGGTGGAACGGAGGTGGGGCGAGTTTTTGGGCACTCAGTCTCTAAAAGGTTCGCCATCACTGCCCTATATGTTATCCCACCATCAGTCCTCACTATTTTATTCCCACAGCCAGCTGATCAGATACGTATGAGAAGCCAACAAGCAGTATGTAGGTGGAATTTCATCTTCCAGCATGTTCTGCAGCAATTACTTTTGAGAAGTGTTTTGTCTGCAATGTGGAAATAATATCTAGCCTGCATGGCTATAGTATTAGTCATAGAAAGTCTTATCCTCCAATTAATTTAATTTCTGATTGAAGTTTCAGAACAATGTTTATACTATGTGACAAGCACATAAACATGATTTCAATGTCCCATAAGAAACCTTCACAATATGAAAAAATTACCTTTTTCAAACATTATTTTTTCTGCTTGGATTTGCCCTCCATCAGTAGGGAAAAGATAATGGATAGTCCCTGAAACTTGAATGGGATTCTCACCCATATTATATCCAAGAAACTAGAAGAGAACAGTTATAGAACAATATATAATCAAATTAAATATAAGTAATGGGGAAACTGGGAATCACTAACAAATCAAATCAGGAAATATGGTTTCTTTTACTAAATCAAGCTTTGGAGGCTCAATTCCTGGGAATTAAAAATGAAAATGAAATCAAAATTTGGAATGGTTGCTTAATTTATTTCTGTTCTTTTTGCAGATCTGAGAGTTTCACATCCATTTAGGCCATGTATGGGTGATCTCTGTGGTCCTGAAGCAAAAAATAAAAATACAAGTGAAGCTTTTCAGACTGAATGGATTTGTTGGCTTATGTACTAGATCTTGCTTCTGGAGGTCCTAAGGAAAGGGCGTTCCTTGGGAGGACACTTCTTGTATAAGTTTTGGCAATAAACCCTTTACTAGCTTCTTGACTAGAGATACAGTATGCTCTGCAAGCTAAGTAGAGGGCAGGGGTCTTTAAACTTGGCCCTTTTATGACTTGTGGACTTCAACTCCCAGAATTCCTCAGCCAGCCAGTCATAAAAGGGCCAAGTTTGAAGACCGCTGCCTTAGGACCTATCTAAGAACCACCTCTCCTGTTATGAACCTTTCCAATGGTCAAGATCAACAAGAAAGGCACTCTTGAAAATAAGATCATCCTTTTCCATCAAACTATTGTTTTTTTGTGATGTAGAAAGATCACCCTGCATTCTGTTTTCCATCTTTATCCTGGTACAATTATGTACATAAAAAGGTGAAAGGCAGGAAACCAGGGATGTCTGTTTGTTAGTCTATCTCTATCCAAGACGCCACAAACTAATTGTTTCCAAAAACTTTGGAAGGTTCCGTACCTTTAGATACATAGATAAACATAAGTAATTATCTATTGATATTAACTTCTCTTCCCTCCAGTGATGCCATCATATTATCATTCTCCTGAAGCTTTAGATGGTTTTCTTTTTAAAACTGCTTTGATTAAAATTCCCTTCCAGGAAATTTATAAAAGCTAAGAGCCAAACAAACATTTAAATAACCAAAATAATACAAAATAAGTAATAAAATGTCCCAGTTTGCTATTTTTCTGACATCAGAAACTCCTAAATATTCCTGGCAATTAACTAAAGTCAACAAAACCCTAAAAAGAATCTAAATAAAGGTCTTCGCAGGCATACAATCTATTATGGGAAATTATAGGGATAACAAAGACCACCACACCAGAATATTGCTGGGGCACAACTACATTGATTGTGTAAGAAAATCCAGGCTTCAGACAAAACATTAGCTGGCGACTTCTTGAAAGGTGCAACCTATTACTGAACCTTGTAAGGGTGGACCCAATAACTAGAATTATTTCCAGTAATTTATACAATCCTTAATTGATTCACCTCATAGTCTTGCTCTGCAGGCACAGGAGGCACAGTTTGTTTACTCTGTTTCTGCAACTTGGCCTGATCTTCAGCCTCTGATGATTTGGATGTCTCTGCTTTATCCTTAGAACCCTTTTTCTTCGATGCTTTTCCTTCTTCAGGAATGGGTGGCTCTTTACCCTGGCCTTTCTTTTTCCCATCAGATTTTTCCTTCTTCTCTGCTTTTTTTAATTCTTTTAAGCGTTCTTCCTCCAACAGTCTCTCTTGCTCTTCTTTCCAGGCCTATAGAAAAAGGAAAGCTCAGAGTCAGACCTAACATGACAAGCAATTTGGGTTTTGCCCCAACAAATCAATCCATGATTGAAAGGCTTCTTTATTTTTCTCTTTAGAAAAATTGCTATTTTAGGCAATTGTTGCAAGCAACATGATTATTTGCTTGCATTACATTTCAACTATCAAGTGATTTAGACATTACTATAATATGCATTATTTAATACTGCATCACAGTAATATTACTATGATCACAACTGCTAATTTAATACATTAATCTAGATATATTCTTATATCTCAACTACATAAATAGAGGAATAAGTGGTATTCAGTAGTAATCAGTAGTTACCTTGAGAGATTCATCTCTGACAAATATATTTTTTTCCTTCTCAGGTACAGGTTCAGATGAAACCTCTACTTTACTTTTGGAAGAACCTTTGAAATTTGAGAAAGCATAAAGATTGTAACTATACCATATAATATGAGACTGTTGTATAAATGGTTCCTTGGGTAAGTGACAAATATTTTAAGCAAGCAAAAATCTGACTCTGTAGGAAGACGTTTTCAATGAAATCCAACAGTACAGTATGTTTCTCCTCAAAAAAGCACTTTCCACTGAAATAGAAATATGTACTTTTCCATTCTGGCCTAATAATTGGCTTCAGAAAAGCTACTCTCTCATAATCATTGGGAGAATTAAACAGATCTATCTCTTGTCATGCCTGAAAATTGCAAGTGCTTTTCAGGTAGGAAAAAGCATAGATGAGTTAAGTAGAAGTATATGGCTGACCTTGGCTGATCTCCCAAAACTAAGTAGGCCAAACCTGTTTAATACTTGGATGGGAGACCACCAAGAAATACCAGGATAGTAGAACAGATTAGGAAAAATCATCTCCAAAGTTAGCAATATTCATGTAAACAAAAAAGCAAGCAATACCTACCCTCCCTTGCTTTTATTTATTTATTTTGTTTGTTTTGTTTGTGAAATATTTATGTTGCCCATCTGAGCTTGCTGATGTTTTGTGTATATGTATTTTGCATGTTCTTGAGGATTGATGTTGAAGACAACAGTGCATTTCAGAAACTGGAAATTTTAATCTGTATTGGTTAGGTTTCTGGTTATGTAGCAATGGTGTTTTTGTTTGGCTAATAAACTATAAGTCAGGCTGGAATTTAAAAAAAAAAAAGAAGGCAATAGCAAACTACCTTAGGTCAAAGTCTACAAGATTATCATGAGCCGAGCTTGGTTTGAAGGATCTAAAGATGACATATTTTGTTTGGCAGCACCTGGCCAAACAACAGGTATAATAAAAGTGGATAGTGCGCTGTTGTAGAATTAATGTTTGCTACTTATATAGTTAAAGAGAGCAGCTCCTTTTCTTGCAGGGAGACAGTTAGCACACTGCCCATGCAATGTTCAGTAACATTTAAAGAAACTCCATAGCATAGAAATACTGGGATTGACCAAACAAGGATGTATTAGGGGTATTCAAACAATTTAGTCTCTTTTTGACCTACGTGCTAAGTAAAGAAAAAAGTATGAAAAAAGACTTCAGTCAAACTATCTGCAATGATGAGTCTATGTGTGTGTGTGAATGTATGTTTCATATTTTTTAAAAAAATGTTCCTTTTGCCAATATTTCTGCAAAATTAATTGGCCAATAACCCATTAACACAGACTGTCATGGTCCTTATTCCCATGGCCCTGGTGTAAAAATACAAAGGAGCAGCAGCTCATACTGAGTATCCTTTGTTTCCTATGCCAGAATATTCAAAACATTTTTAGTTTTGCTTCCACCGAATAATGAAGCTGTTTGGAGCTTTGCTCCACTACACAGCAGCCCATTTGGGACATTCAGATGAAACGTTCTGAGTGGGATGCCTGGTTCCAAACTGAAATATAACAGGTTGGTTATGTCACAGACACCACTAGATTGCATCTGTAGGAGAAGAACAGGTAGAGGTGGGGGGGGGCAAAGCTAGGCGAGTCATCAGCCTAAAGTTATTGTATTCCCACATCTACGTCCAACCCCTCTTGAATTCTGTTGACACTTATCTAGCGCCAATTTTTAGCACTGAATGTTAGTTGACTAGATTCTTTATTGTTTGAGCAATAAATCTCAATAACTCCAACATATGCGCCTGACAATACCATAAAAATACTTACTTTTCGCTTTCTTTGTAGCAGCCCCTTTTTTGCCAGAAGGTGGAGACTTGACCTCAGCAGGAGCTTTCTCCATTGCCTCTTTAGCTAATCTAAGTTCCTCCAGTTCCTTAGCCATTTTTTCTTCCTGGTATTTGGCTTCTTCTTTCACTATCCATTCATCAATGGAGGCAGCCACCAATTCCAGATAATTCCTGGAAAATGTATTACTGCTATCAGTCAGAACAATGACTAGAAAGGCTCTTCTCCTTGACCCTGACCAACGGAATTCCTTAGCAGACTGGGTCCGTAACAGGCCTCTTCTGCTGGCACAAGGGGGGCGGGCTAGTCCCAATCAGAGGAGGCAATTCCTCAGATACAACGGACCCATGCCAGCTTTAAAAATAATAACCAATACCTTGAATTTGATTTGGAAGCAAAATGATAATCAAAGCACCTTGCAGAACAGCAGTATTATATGTGCCAGCCTAGGCCCCCCAGAACTGTGTACGCTGCTGCATTCTGCATCAGCTATAGCCTCTAAATACTCTTCAAGGATAGCCCCATGTAGAACTTGTTGCAATAATGCAACCAAGAGATGGCTAGGCCATCAATGACCAGGCATAGGGCCTCATGATCCAGATAAGAGTGTAACCCATGAAGTTGCACAAAGGCCTAGTCATGACTATCACTGCTCTTTGAGCAGGAATCACAAATTCCAGAACAACTTCCAGGTTGTGCAGTGGGTCTGTCTGGGGTAGTGCAACCCCATTCACAACTAAAGATGATAAACAACTGGATCTGAGGTCCTTTGCACACAGCTACTCCATCTTGCCAAGGTTCAGATGAAGCCTGTTGTCCCCCAGATGCCTACAGCCTACAGCACTGAAAAAGGGCAGCTATAGCACCACTTGGATCAGGGGGATGGAAATGTACAGCCGTGTTACATCAGTATACTGATGATATCACATCCCATGATGTCAGATGATCTTGCCCAGTGGTTTCATGTAGATGTTAAAAAGGTCTCAAGAGAGTACCGAGCTTTGTGGCATCCCACAAGTGGTAGCCATGGGCTGGACCTCTTGCCCCTTTTTGACATCAGTTGGGACCAGCCTTTGAGAAAGGTGCTGAGTAATTCTGCACCACTCAGCTCCAAACCCTGCAGCCGACCCAAATGGATACCGTGGTCAATGGTACCTAAAACAGAGAGGTCAAGGACAGCAAGAATGAATGTACTACTGCCAACCCATTTTTACTGTTGTAATTATAATCTTTAAGATAATTACTATTTTTAAAAAAACTTTTGATAATTTTCCTTGTGTTATTCAAAATGTCTGGCACAAGTGTGAAATTTTTAAAAATATATTGTTACCTACTATATATTTAAAAATATATTGTACAGTATTAAACTGTACAAATAATTTACCAATAATGATGATGAAGTAGCACCAGTCATTCATTATCAATGAATTATTATTCATTGTTATAATTCACTCCTTTTCCACATGATAATAGGATACTATTTGAAATCCATTTTACCTGAACCCAACATCAGAATGCAATGAAATGTTCCAGAACTCCTGGAATTGACGATGTTGATTAATGGGATTATGAAGGACTATCAGCAAAGAGTTATCTTGAGTATGATAATAGGAATCAATGCACCTATAATTCTGAGTTGCATTATGAAGGACCTGTTAACAAGAGAAGAATTAATACAAATCCGTTCTAATTAAGAGACTATCTGTAGAGGTGATGCAGAAAAAAAGACAATGGGTACATTTATTTGTGCCAACTGATTTATAGGTAACTGATAAGATACCAATAATAGAAATTGTGAATTGTTTTACAATGTATAGTCAAAATATAAATGATTGTATAAAATAGAGAACAATATAAAAATAACATTCAATTTGAAAAAGTGAGGAAAAGAAAAATCTAAAGCAAGACATAATATTTAAAATAAGAAAAGTAAATGAGTAAAGATACAGTCATGTGAAAATGTAAGTTCATCCCATGTAAAGCTTTTTCTTTCTTAAGATATGTGAATATATCAATATTTTATCTTTATTCAAACAGTATAAAGATAAAGATGATGTGTCATGCTTCTGACAGATGAAACTCTTCAAAAGAACTTCGAGGCATTGTTTACCTTAAAGAATCTTTTATTCAAGGAATAAAGTATCGGCACTACATAGTTGAAACCAGAAATGAAATTCCCCTCCCTGGATACAAAGTAACAAAGTGCAATTCCCTCCTCCAATAAACAGTCATAAATCACATTCCCCAGTTAGCTTTCTCCCCAGCTCTCCAGCCCGCCAAAACACTATCAGCTCTGGGTCCAATGTCCTTGGGTTCCCATGACTAAGTTATGATTGTTATGACTAGCTGGATTCTCATCCCTATTCCCCCTCCCAGCAGCAACTAATTCTAAAAGCAATAGAGAAAACGGCTGCATTTCCATTTGTTTTCAAAGCAAGAACATCTGATGTTAGCAGCGTTGACATGATGTAAATGGATAAAATGAATTCTACAATCCCTTATTCAACAAACAATTAACAGATATGCCATTTCCTTCTGTGGAAAAAGTAAATACCCCATTGGCTCTAATACCCGGCATTGACCACTTTGATAGAAATGACCTCAAGGAAGCATTTCTTATAATTGTCTACCGTTCTCTGATACTGACTGAAAGGAATATTTTTCCTATTCCTCCATGCAGAATTTTTTCAGCTGTACAATATTTGTGGGATTTCTCGCATGTACAGCTTCATAGCATCTTATAGGGATTTAGAACCAGGCTCTGAGATAGCCATTCCAAAATACCAAATTCTTGTTTTAGCTATTTCTTTATTAGAATGTTTAGGTCATTGTTATACTGCAAGGTCCACTTTGGGCTGAACTTCAATGCTCTGACAGATGACTTCATATTAACTTCAAGGACTGTCTGATACAATGAAGAATTCATAGTGGATTTCATGGTGGCAAGCTGTCCAGGTCCTGATGCAGCAAAGCAGGCCCAAACCACAACATTTCCACCACCATGCTTTATGGTTGGTATCAGGGTCTTCTGGTGAAATGCTGCCCTTAGGTTTTGTCAAACTTATCTTCTGGTACTATAGCAAAATATCTTTGCCTTGTCTGTCCAGAGTACATTGTTACCTAAGTCCTGGTTTTTGCCTAAGTATTCATGAGCAAACTTGAGTCTCGCAGATGTTCTTTCTAGACAGCAAAGATTTTAGCCTGGCATACCTCTCACATAGATCTAATTTGGGCAGGTTCTTTCTAATAGTAGACTCATACACTTTTATATCAATAGTGGAGAGAGCTAGCTGTAGGTTATGTGATCAAACTCTGGGATTCCTAGAGACTTTTTTCAGTATATTACATTTTGCTCTGGGGTTGAACTTGCTGCGACAATCTGATCTGGGTAAATTGGCAGTTGCTTGAAATCTTCTCCACTTACAGATAATCTTCTAGATAGTAGAATGATTGATGTCCAATTGTTTGGTGATCTTTTCAAATCCCTCCCCAGACTAACATGCATTTCTATCTTTCTTTTTGAAAGCCTCTGAGAGCTCTTCCAATTTAGGCATGATGATATTACACCCTTCAATGACAAAGAGAAATGAAACTAAATGTCTGAAGTTTCAATAGGACAGGTATCTCCCAGATCCTCTCTAGCAGTGTTCTATTCATGTGCCCCTCCTCTGGTACACCTGATTCTAATTTTATATATTAGATAAATTTACAGCTTTTTCACATGTGAAATTTGCATTTATGTTTACTTAAATTACACAATATAATGTAAATGGTGCATATTGTCATTATTATATCTCCTTTATTTATCAAAATTATTGAAATGAAGATTAAATATCTGTACGTTGAAATATGTTTAAAAAGTCAAAAATTTCATTGGGGTATACTTTTTCACCTGGCTGTAAGGACAGCTGACATATAAATTTCAGGATCACCACTGAGAAGGCCCAATGGAGAGTAAGTACAACATGGTTATCTGCAATTTTCAACATAACACAGGTGGGCATATATGGATGGGTTATTTTAGTAATGGGCTGGTCTGTAATGGGAAAGATGACCTTATTAGTATGTTAAAAGCAAAAACTCGAAACTGATTCACTGGCAGTTTTTACATAACATGCAGACAGCAAAGTATCCCACTCAACATCCTGATTACCACTTCCTGTACTTGAATGTTCACATACAGCATTGAAACAGAATATAAAGTTACCAGTATGTGACTCATACTAAGCTATCATAGTACCTAAGCTATCAGGAAAGATAATATAGCAATCAAATCTTTGATGACCCTGAAGAATCTCGGAGAACTTGTACATTATGTACTAGTCCTTTCTAACAAAGTTCATATGTGTTCAAAACAGGCAAAGTCCTCAGTTCCATACAACACATGCAAATATATGTATGGTCCCAACTCTAATGCAATTAAACTATCTAGGAGGGCATTGCAGTCAATACTATTAAAAACTACTGAGAAATCAAACGGTGAGTGAAGTTGCACTTCATCTATTACTTCTGAAGAAAGCCATTTGTCAGGCTGACCATGGTTTATTTTGATCCATAATTTTGAAATACCCTAGAATAATAAATGACTTTTCCTAGACCTAGAATATCCATAGCTACACAGAGAACACTCTTTCGAGTAATTGTCCTCAGATTAATCTCAACCTTTGGTATAATATTGAAAATATAAACTTATTTTCTAGAAATGCATGTTAAGCAGGTGCTGTGCAAGAATGTTTTCTAAATGAGGCAACAAATTGAAATTACCTGGAAGAGGAGTTGTGGTTGAAAATGTTCAACAAAACTCCAGTCATTCAGACACCGCTGCTGGGTCTTTTGGATGGCTGAAATTACCTTATGAAAGAAAAGATAAAATTTGGCTCATTTAATAAATGTTGGGAAGGAGGTGAAAAATAATCCACAGAGGTTTATTTTCTAGCTTTAGAATCTAATTCATTTTAAATTGATCAGTGTAAAGCCTCTACATTTCTATACTATCATATACATCTAACATCTGTTGTAAGATGAGCAGCCAATAAATGATTGACTGATAAATAAATAAATCTGCATATTCAACACCTTCTTATTTTCTATAAAACGGCCCTTTTCTTCATTAACATATTAATATCTTCATTCTAGGTATGAAGTTGCCATTAAAAATAGAAGAAGAAATAGAAAATGTCACTGCCTTTTCTAAAAATGTTAGTACTCAGCCAATACTGTCTAGAAAGTACAATAGTGCTCTCTTCACTTCCAATATTTGTGGATTTATTTGGGATATACAGACAATTCTAAAAGTAATTTCTAAATCTATTTCAATAGAAGAACACATATATTCAAAAGTTTATATGGCCTTCATAAGTGGAAAGAAACTCTGAAAGTGAATTTCTTAAATTCAGCTTTAGAGACAGACTAATCTCAACAACAATTTGATGTTGTTTCTCCTGGTATTAGTCTTGCAATACACCATGCTTTGAAAAATGAATTATAACATTTACATGTATTTATGTGACATCTATTTTGCTTTTAATCATTAAAGCAATTTCAAAATAGTATGATTATATTAAATATATTTTAGGACTACCTACATCTTTCTTCCTCTCATTGTAATTCTCAATATGGAAGTTAAATGATTTTTATCAAAGATTCATTAAAAACCATACCCTCTTTGTAGAAAGCAAGTTATAATACAATTACATAACAAACTTAATGCACAGAGAGGTTGGAAGAATCTCTCAAGTATAATTAATATCTAATTTGAAATTCAGCCCATACTTGTTTTTTCCATTTTTTTCTTCACTAGGAATCTTTAGGATGATTCAAGTTAAAACCCATTACATTCTAGGTCATTTACTTCATGATGAAGCAATTCAGCCACTTAGTACCATTTTGTCATAATGCCCAAGGTGCTAAACTACATGCAAGCTGAAGGAAGAATATATATCATTTTCGATCAGCATAGCATTTTTAGGGGGTTATTGGTTTTATTAATGCGCATTCTTAAATTAGAACATGCTCTAAAAGTGCTCTTTTTCTTCTGTTTTCCTTTCTCCAGTCTAGTCATCCTAGTAATGGATTTATACCGGGGTTCAAATTCACAAATGACTACACAACACACTGGGCAATTTTGGACCATTCAGCCCAATTTATCTCATACTTACTATAGGGATAACATTAGAAGATTATGTTCAGGACAACCTCTCAGAGCTATTAATGCAGAAAATAATTGTAACAGTAATATTAGATCTCTATTTATGAAAGGAGAAAATGCTTAACCTATTTCCCTTCCTCCTTTACTACCGATGAAACAAATAGCCTCACTTAAAGAGCCAGCTCAGTTGTAAAAATGGCAACAGAGGAAAATGTTAGAAATTTTTAGACAACCATTTTTTCAATCTTCAAAGCAACATGAAATGCTTATTAGTTTAGGAAAAAAATGTGGAGATGATTGAAAAAAAAGGCCATTGAAGTTCTTTAAGTGGTCATCTGTGTATTCACAACTCCTTTTGAAAATAAATCCCTATTTTGTGAAAACCAGCAAATACGATGAGATGAAACGAAGATTATGGATGTTCTGTACTGATGTGTCAATCTCAGATATTAAGTATATAAAAATACATTTTCACTTTCTTTTCACTGCAAACAATAAAACTTTAAATATACAAACAATACAGAATAACAGATGGGAATATGAAATTTTTGATAACTGTCAACAGCATCATTTTTTCAGAACAGAACAATGAAATCAGAGGCTCCAGTTCTACTTATGCAGCTAGAATATAGCACACATATCTTTACAAGATCAAGTGTTTCAAGCTTCTTAAGAGATTCAACCTATTGTATATTTTTAAAATTAAAAACAAGGAATGCTCAGTTACTAGAACTTATTTATACATTCTGCTTCTTATTTCAGCATTTCTTACCTTATCTACAGAATTGTTCAGATCATTTTCATGAACATCAGCAATCAAATCTGTGGAATATATTTGAAGATATATACAAAATATTTAGAAATGTTAAATTCTGTTATCTGGTTCCCATTACATAAATGCTCAATGAACAGAATGGGTGCTATGCAATCTTCAAAAAATTATATTCATATATTCAAAGTTTTGTCTTTTCTTCTTCTCTTGGTATCTGCTTTTATATATTTATGCATGAAGACTTCAGGCCATAGCAACTATAATAACAGCCATGTCTTCTATGGCAGAATCACCTTCCTCAAGCTTCAGGCTTTTGAATATATGAAGACCGGAGCACAGTATCCCTGTATCACTGTTCTCAGATTTGTGAAGGCAAATTTAGACATCAACAGTCTATAGCTTCTTTCATGGAGATATTTATTCATGCATCCATCTCCTTTCATCTCTTGCTCATTTTAGAAGTTAGAATAGGGCTAGTTCAGGAATCAAATTCCATTAACCCAGAAATATTGTTCTCCAGCTCTAAATTATTTTATATACAATAAGCAATTCTTCATCTGCTAACTGTACAGTCCAGCAGAGAGATAATGAAAAATCAACTGATCTTTAAAAGAAGCATTCTTGCCAGTGCTTTGGAAAAGATAGAGATTCCTTCCATGTAAGACGACAAGAGCAATGCTAATTTTAGTGGTCATAATTTTTGAAGTAGAGGGAATGCCTAGCAGTTAATAAGAACATACAATGCTATGTTAGAGAATGGGCAATATTGAAAAAGGGGAAGCCAGAAAAGAATGGCTTCAATCTGAATTTCTAACTGTCCCAGACACAATTATTTACACTGGCAACAGAACTCATATAATGAACAAAAAGTAGAGTTAAAGTATACTAAATTCCATCTGTTTCTATTCAACCCATATCATATGTATCATAGCATATGTATACCTATGATAAGCTAATGGCCTCAGGGTGTGTTCTAAACTCAGAAAATGGAATAGGTTAGTAAAAATGCTAGGATGCTATGTTATGTAAGGTAAAAATACGGTGTATAAACAGCTACAGCTAAGAACAGTCAACAGATTGCTTATCCTTCCCAAACAAAACTCCAGCCACCTCATCCCATACAGATATTATGGCACTTGCAGTCAATGATGCAATGGGTTCTAAACACCTGAGCCCAGATAATTGTTGTACATCTTCTCTGCATCTCTGCAGCAATGTCACCAATAGTGGCTCTATCGTTTTGAACAAGCGGCCTTTCCTTTATAAGCAAATAATCCAGTGGTCCAAAACGTTTTAGGGTTGATGAGCATACACAGGATATTAAGGACAAACTATAGATTCTAGCTCATTCACAAAGTAGTTGCCATGGGAATGTAACAAGTCACAAATCACCAATTTACAAGAATGCCACAATTATCCCTACTTAATTTTGTCTTTTTCATGAGCAAAACAGACATGTTTACAAAGAACTGGGATGGAGCTACTGGGAACATTTTTTTTTAATCTTGTAGAGTCCAGAGTCATTTTTGTACATGGTTGGACATTTGCATTCTGTTTTGCAGCAGGCTTAGCTTCCTGTTTTTAATTAATGTAAAAAGTCAGAGAAAGTAGGAATCCTGGCATTTGCTAAGAGATGGGCTAATGAGGCATGCTGGCATCCCCACACACCATGCTAGAGACACTCTCTCTCTCTCTCTCTCTCTCTCTCACACACACACACACACACACACACACACACACACACACACAAAACACATACACATACACACAACTCCAAGGCTAGGCATAAAGCGTGCAGTAAAAAAGAATCTATGGTCAGAAACTCATGCAGCAGTAAAAGTCTTGGAAACAGTATTCCATGAATCAACAGATACCTCCTATTAGTGCTGCAAGTTTCCAATTTCCCAACACAGAGAGAATTCCAGAGGGAAAATGGAGAAGGAAAAGGAAAAGAACATATTTCCAAGGAACATATACCTGAGCTGAAAGATTTGGATTGTTTCTTGATACTTTCCTCCAGTGAAAAAGAGAAATGTTGTTGACTTTGAAATGTATTATGCTCAGAGCCTAGCTCTATGAAAAAGAAATACAAAAAAGACAATTAGGTAAATTCTAAATGCACATTCATACAAGAGTTCCCCTGCATTCCCAATTCAGATTTCAGCACTGAAAGTAGCAGTACAGAAAAGGTTCCCCTTAGAAACTGGAAACAATTTTGTTTGGGAAAAGTAGAGCCTCTTTCATATGTGGGTACTGCAGAGATCAGAATGGATGACCCTTAAAAAATATGAACATGATCTCAGACTTCATGTAAATTAACATTTATTCAATGTAAATTTTATTTTTTGATGTACCACTTAAGAACTATTATCAAGCTCTGATAATATGAACACATTTCTAATGCTATCCTATATGTGTCTACTCAGAAATAATTTCTACTCTTTTCAATATGCCCTATTGTAGCTCTCTCCCAAAAAGAATCTGATAATGATAAACACAGGAACAACAAGAATAGTAATTGATTAATTTTATTTTGCATTTCATTCAAAAAACTTAGAGAAACATACAAAGTTGTTCATCTGCTTTTATTCTCACAATTCTTATGTTGATGTTAATAACATCCAAAGGAGCTTCACAGCTGAATGGATATTTCAGCCAAAGTTTCCTGAACCATCCTAGATGCTGTTATTCTATGTTGTAAAAAAAAAAAAGCAACCAAAAACAAAAAACAGGAGGAGTCTGGTAACACCTTTTCTGTCTAACAAATTTCATTATAAGGGCAAACAACGAATGGAAACTAACTAAGAGAAGCAACCTAGAACTAAGGAGAAATTTCCTAACAGTGAGAGGAATGGAACCCAATGGAAGTTGTGGGTGCTCCATCACTGGAGGCTTTCAAAAAGAGACTGGACAACCATTTATCTGAAATGGTATAGGGTTTAATATATTTATAAAATACATCTAAACATTATTTACCTGAATTATTCAAATTAAGCTCTTTAGAAACCTTTTTGCCAAATAATTCTTGTCTCAGTTGTCTAGCAAACCTAGCAGGATTGTCCCATGGGATATAAGACACTTCATCATCACCACCAAGCATCTTGCCAGAGTCTTTGAGCTGCCCATACTTATCGACTTTTGTCAGCTTCAAACTTTCAAAAGTAAACACTCGAAAAGCTCGTTCTACTTCAGCCCAATTCATATGTTCTGCAAGAAAATTAAACCACAGAAAGAAAAATGTCCATTTAAATTGCCTGAATCCACTTTTTATTTTGTCAGAAATCTGATTATCATTCGTAGCTGATTCAAATTTATTCCAACCAATGCATTCCCAGAAGCAAAAAACAAAAAGTATCAGATAAAGGAGGAAATTATTCTAGTCCTTCCCATGTAGAAATTCGATATAACAAAGATTCGGACTACTTGAAAACAGTAAGCCAATAAAATAATATTATTACCATCAGTACAATAGTGCATAAGTTCATGAAGCCTGGCAAGGCGTTTGGTATTGTTTGCAGGTGATGGAAGAGGGAATTTAAGAAGTTCCATCAAAGGCAGCTTTTCCATCATTTCCTCTTCAATCTTTATTGGGTGTAAACCATCTTTTACCTTTAATGAAGAGAAACATGAAACTTCACTGATTGTGCTATTGAAAGGAGGAACTTTTCATATTTGGGGAACATAAAAAGTGCTTTTTGCTTTTTTTCTCTATCTCTTCGGGGCATTGGAATGACACTACTGCTTCTAGGGGAGAGGATTGGTGCTGCAGAAATATGGCAACACAGATGCATTATGCCTAGCAAAACCTTCACATACTCATTTTGCTTCTTACTTTTTTGAAAAGCAAGACCAGATTTAAGTGTGGTGTCCTAAAGTATACAATTTTAAAAACATATATTTTGGAAAATGAAAATGTAAAAACCTGATCTCTAGATCTACATATTTTAATAACACAGGGTTAATATGAATTAGATATGCTGGTGATAGCTTTTTCACTTGTGATATTATTATGATATCACTGTAGGAATGTTGATTGATTGTCATATAACATTTTGTGTCATTTTGTAAGTCCTATTGTAAGTCTATTGATATTTCATAAGCAAAGGTTTTAGAAATAAACAATAACATTGCAATGATTTTTTGATCTCTCAGCAGCTTTTGACCCCATCAACCATGGTATCCTTCAGAGATGACTGTATAGTAAAAACTAATACAAACTAAACTTAGAGAAAAAGAAGAGAAAGAATTAAAAGTGCAGGAAAAAAGATAAAAGAAATATATATAAAGAAATGACTCCCAACCTTCATGACAAGTAGACAAATTTAGTAACTTTTCACCTCCTATAAGGTTACAGATATCTCTTCATCCCATATCCCATCCCTTATGAATAAGTAAATCTATAAAACATCAACATTTGAATCCTGGTGTCAGCAAAAAGTCCATAAAGGTTGCCAGAACTTTAAAAAAAAGTCTTATTTTAATCTTGAACAAATAAACCAACTTTTTATTTCTTCGTTTTATGTTTAACATTATTAATCTTTAATTCAATCAGATATTATCATAGGATTTAATTTCTCTTCAATTCTTCTTTATCCCATTGCACAGACTTTTTCAAGGCTTTAACAAGCCTCTTTTGTGGATCCATTCTCTTAGCTTATCATTTGTTTTTCCTATTTAATTTTTAAACTTCCAAACAGTTTCTTTTGCATATCCAGTAAAGAGTCCTTTTTCAAATCATTCTCTTGCCTGTCATTTGTAGTTCCAGCTTCTTATCTGCAAATTATTCCTGTTTTTGTGCTTTTGCCTTTTTCTCTGCCATCTCCTGCTGCCCTGCTGCTGAGACTGGTAGCAACAAATCCCCCTCCTGTTTAAAACCAGGTCATCATTTACTGTTAGTATCAATTAACATTTCTGCTAAAATATTGTGTCTTGAATCTGGATCTTTAAAAAGTATACTTAAGTTTTACACTTAAAAATATTTATACACTGAGAGGTATCTTTTTTCTTATTTTTTTCTTGGTTGACCTTCATGATTTTTAGCTTTTGTCTTGATTTTCAAGATAAAGTAGAAAAACAAAATAAAATAGTGCTCTTAAAAAGCAGCTTATGAGACATTTTAGCATTTTACATTGGGGAATCTAACCACATTGTATAATTTTATTATTAGATTTATATGAGGACAGATTTTGCCTTTGAAGAGAACTGAAGGTACTTACAATTTATGCACTCCTTTGGAATTTGGCAAATTTATAATGAAGTATTCTTCTTTTCTTTTCTCTATTTTTATATTATTGATGGGAAAAAGGCTAAACAAATGTTATATTATACCTTTACGCTGTGTAGTTTCCGAGACAAATTATCATGATAGTTTAGTATTAGAGGCCCTCTGGGAGCCGTAACTTTTTCATCATTTTCAGGATAAAAGGAATTATACAGCTCCTGTCAAAGGAAAGGAAGCATGCATTTATAAACTTATTTATAATTTTTATAAAAGTATTAAATCAGCATTAGACAATACAAACCATTTTTTCATTTTCAGAAAGGGCAAGTGAAGGTAGAATCGAAACAATATGACTGGCAATGGTATGATCCAACCCATCTTCACGTGGCTGTGGAATCACTAGGCTTGGTGGTGTAAGATTTTCTTCTGATGCAACAACCTAGCACAAATAAATATTTTATTTCATTATTCCAATGCTCCGAGAGAAAAACATGTTGAAAGAGTGATTAAAGATATTACAGTAACAGAACCTGTAGCATCAATATTGACTTGTCCCAGTCCATACACCCAGACACCAATGGGGTTTATAATGCAAGCCTCTATTGTCATTCACCATGTCCCACTTGTAGAGTAGGTTGCCAGCAGACAACTTTCAGCAAAGTCCAACTGAATCAGAATCCAGGGAGGCAAGGCACAAAGTCAGAAGGCAAAGCATGAAGTTCAAAGTCAAGGTACAACGTCCAAAGTCCAGAGTCAAAACATTGGTTCAGTAGGTCCCAAAACATATCATGCATGAAATGCAGGAACACTTCTGATGTGTTGGTAAGGCCAAAAGACATGATGGAATATTCAAAGTGGCCATACTGAATCCTGAACACAATTTTCCTTTCATTTCCTTCCTGTATGTACATCAAGTTGTACATTCCTCTCAGGTCCAGTTTTGTGAATATTGTGCTTGCCTCTATCCCTACTTCACATTCTTGTCAATGAGATCCTGAAGAGCCATTAGCTCCAGCTCTGATGACTAAATCCGTTCCACTGGCAGTTTTGCATCGGGGACCAAATCAATGGGGCAGTCATAGGAATGGTGGGGTGGCAGTTGCTCCACTTTCTTTTCTCCAAAGTCAGTGGCATACTTTGTGATTTTGGAGGGAGGTCTAAGGGGTTTCCAAGGAACTTCTCCACTGCACAAACATGGAATCTATGGGGGTGACACTTGGGACTTTTAAAATTAATCACCCTAGCTGACCAGACAATACACGGATTATGGGCTTGGAGCCATTCCAGGCTGAACATCAGTGGGAAGTAAGAAGCAACCACCATTTAAAACTCCAGCCACCCCACATGGTTACCAATATGCAGGTGGATTGGTGCAGTTGCTGCTGCTATGGGTCCTGAACAGAGCTACTGACCATCAATCATTTCCACAAACAAAGGCAGAGCCATCTCGTGTTGCGAGATGTCCCATTTTGCTGCAAAGGTCACCTCCAGGTGCAGTGCATACAAATTCCTCTCTCCCTGGAATGGTCAGAATGACCAACACCACCAAGTGCCACACCATAGTAATTTGGGGTTGCTGAGCCAAACCTGCCATTAAGGACACCCAACCTATTGATTCCTCTAGGCCAGGTGTCTGACATTTCCCGCCTTGGTGGGACCTTTTCAGACTGCATGAGGCAATGGTTGAGCACACACACAACCCACTTGTGTATCTCCTCTCGCACCATCACAGGGCCTGAAGACCCCACTTCTTGCTTTCTTGCTTTTCTTTGTTGTGTTGTGTCGACCATCAATTTAGAGCCACAGATGCATCAGTTCCTAAAGAGTGTTGGGACAATCCGTCCTGGCAACTCATCTAGTAATTCCGAGGACAGCCTCGGATCGATGAGGGCCTCCTCATTCCATTTTAAGTCCTGGTTTAATAGGCAAAAGTAACTGATATCAGCCACCAGGCATTGCCTTGTTTCAGCTCCTGCAATTGTCTATTAGTATTTGGGCCTTTAGAGGTTCCTCAAACATACTTTTCAGTTGTACACAGAAGACTGCAAAATTATCCAGGAGCAGGCTGGGTTGCATAAGAAGCAGAGTAACCCACTTGGATACCAGCCCCACTAACAGGTTGATAATACATCTCACCTTGTCCTGGTCTGTCTGAATGTCCTCTGGCCACAAGTTAATAAACTGGCACTGCCCGAAAAACACCAGGAATTGCACAAGCATGCCATCGAACCTATCTGACACAGAGACTGAGCATTTGCACCATGGCTGTGACAATCTGGAAGCTTGCATGTGGGCCAGTTGCGATGATAAAAAAAACTACTTGTTGAACCAGCTGGGCATGATCAGTGAGGAGCTACTTCATATTGGCTGGGTACAGGGTACTGTCTCCTGGAGAATATCTTGGGTCAGAGACAAACTGTCCTTTTCCAGTCCATACAAACACATACCAATGGGGCTTAATGTGTTTATTGAACACCACAAACCCCTATTGTTGTTCCCCAGGTTCCACTTGTAGAGTACCTTTCAGCAGACAGCTCTCCGAAAAGTCCAACTGAATCAGAGTCCACAGAGACAAGACATGAAGTCAGAAGATAAAGCATAAAGTCCAAAGTCAATGCACAAAGTCCGAAGTCCAGAGTCAATGCACAAAGTCAGGAGTCAAGGCACGAAGTCTGAAGTCAAGGTACAAGGCAGGAGACAAGGCACAAAATCCGAAATCAAGACATGAAGTCCAAAGTCCAGAGTCAAGGTACAAAGTCTGAAGTCAGGAATCCAAGGAGTCACAGTGAACATGCATGGCAGCATGTGAAAGGTTGTCTCCAACAAACCTCAACCCCAAACTTCAAGCTAAATAGGCACCTGCCAGTGCACTTCTTTAGGAAGGGCAAGGTTGCTTCTTTGCAAGTAACCTCACCGACCACTGTTGTGCTTCTCTCTGCTCTGCTCTACTTGCAGCAGGGGAAGCAATTCATCCTCATCTCCACTGACCAGCTGCAGCTGTGTCACTCTCTGGCCGCACCTCCAGCCAGTATCCATACTTCCTGGCTGCAGTTGCATGTCTCCTCCTACAGCCAGCCGCTTGTCCGGTTGCTAGTTTGCATACTCTTCCGACATTCCTGGCATTTCCTGGCATGTTATTGTTATGGGCAATAAAGTCATCTGACTAATTCACCACCACCCTAGGACCCCCAAGCCTGTTGGCAGAACTATGTTTTAAGGCAGTGTTTTTCAACCTTTTCACAGATTGTACAACTTTTAGGACATGACAATATTTGAGTACCACCAGTGCTTAGCAAGGTGTCAAAAACTTGATGACTAAAAAGAAAGGAAAAAGTACTGATTTTAATTTCTTTGGTGGTGTTTCCTTTGCTGAATCATTTTCCCTTTGCACTGACAAATTTATCTATGTTTATTAATATGCACCACTACCTTAGTGGTCAGGTGGCTGGTCGGCCCTTTTTCCTCTCTCCCTCTCCTCTCTCTTTCTTTCATTGCCTGCTGGGCAATGAAATTCAACAGCCTCTGCTCATTCGTGGATCTCTCTGCTTGTCTCACAGAAGCCTCCTCTTCTCTCTCTCTCTTTCTTTGTCCCCTTCTCTTTCCCTGTCTTTTTTTCTCCCTCTCCCACCAAAACCTCCTTTTATATCCTCTCCTCTCTTCCCCTCCTCCTCCTTTTATATCCTCTTTTTCCCCCTTCTCCTTTTATATCCTCTCCTCTCTCCCCTCTTCCTTTTATATCCTCTCCTCTCTCCCCCTCCTTTTATACCCTCTCCTCTCCCCCTCCTCCTCCTCTTTTTCTCTTCCAGGTGCGCCACTCTCTGGGGCTCAGGGAAAGCTCCAGCATCAGTCGCTATCCCAGTCTCACTCTCCATGCAGTCACCCACTCCCTGGCTGGCCACTGCACATAGCGTTGATCAGCTGAAGCTGCACACACTGATTCTCTCACCCCAAGGCCTGTCTGCTACTCCCGGTGGTAGCAGAGGCTACCAGAAGCACTGATCAACTGGATCTGTGCACGACGATCCAGGGCCCTTAGCAGAGCCCCAGCAACACCGCAGCTCCATCTGACTCTCCCCCAGACCTGTGTGGCACTGCCACCACTTGAGCTCATCAGCACTGTCACTGCTTTCAGCTCATCCCCCCCCGCTACACTTGTCTAGGTTGCGTACCCCCTGCCAGGTGCCGAAGTATCACTAGAGGTACACATAACACCAGTCTGTCTCACCTTGGGGAAAATGTTTCGCTGAGCAGGTGCCACATCAGAAAAGGCCTATCTTCTGGGTCCTTAGTCGATAGAACCCACAGCATACCTCTTCTGCTGAATTTAATGGGATGTGTAGATGTATTTGGATGGAGGTGGTCCTTCAAATAACCCAGTCCTATGCCTGCTTTAAAGGTCAAAATCAGCACCCTGAATTGCACCCAGAAGCAAAGTGGTAACCAATGCAACCTATGCAGCAGAGATGTCCCATGTGCTATCTTAGAGGTACATATAACTGTCCGCACCACTGCATTTTGCACTAGGTGAAACTTCTAAATACTCTTCAAAGGCAGCCCCATGTAAAATGTCTGGTCTGGGAACAAAAGCAACTGGCACACAACAGAAGATTTAGCATCCATTTAGTTCTATCTCTGCAATACTAATATCAAGTCAATTAAAACCTATTACACCCTATGACAGAAATGTAATCTAGTAGTTATTAGGAGAAAGTCTTCTGAGTATTTCCTGAATGGCGGTGAGGTTTATCAAAAGGATTACTATATATGTAGTTGAGAAGTGCTTAATGTTGCTTAAGACAGATTCATGATCCATTACCCAGTGGATCATAAATCCAGTGGATTGAAAACTTGGTTATTTAAACTCTAGATGTAGATTATGCATGAATAATTACAATGAACTATTGTTATTTTTATTTGGGCTATTATATGATAAAATATTATAAGGCTGAGAAATCCTTATACATGCAATGTAATTTATCCAGTTTTATTGCATTGTTTTTTCTCTATATATCTTCTTTGTTTCATTTGTTGTCATTGCGGTTTTTCCTCTCTTTTTATAAAACCCAAGTTCAGTAACAGAGAACACTTTGTATCACAGTAATTAGCACATATAGACAACTTGCAATCCATAGGCTGCATGAAGGTGAACAGCTCCCAGAGTACACCCCAAAATTTCATGGTGGACATTCAACACTTTTTTGTCACATCCTGACAACACTTTTTCTTGTTTTATTTTCCCACTAAAAATGCATCCTTTCCCAAAAGGGCAAGAAAATTTGACTGCAATCCCTGATGATTTTTCCAAGAATCATGAAACATATCCCATCCCTTCAAAGGCCAAAACATGATAATGTGCCGTTCCTGACAGAAAAAAAATGTCTGATGCACCACTACACCAAAAACTCTTAACTGTGGCTTGATATTCCAGCATTTAGCAAAACTGGAAAAGGGAGTCAACAGATCCAGCAATCTTGCTCCCAAACCAGGTAAAAATGAGAAACCTCCATTCTCCTTAGCTATTTGGCTTATCTATCCACACTTCAGTAATGCAAAATTATTCCCCCTTCCACTAGCAGAGACCTTTAATTAAAGATCCTATATGTCCTTTAGCTGCAAGTATATTTTAATAATCATAATTTCTGAATGAATTATAGCCTATGTTTGCTTACCTGTTGCAACATACACTCCAGTAATAAGGCAACAGAAACCACCTCATCAGGGACACAACTCAGGAGATCATTGTAGTACCTCATGTCTACATCTGTAATAATAAAACTATTTTTAATAAAAATAAAATTTAAAAATGTGTTTAAAACATTTAGGTATATAGAGCTACCAATAAATGCACTCTGAATGTATTACACACCTGTGAATATTCATGCTTCTCAAAATAAGAAGGTGATTCCCTTTGCAATGGGCCCTTTCTTTTGAGGCCAAAGAAGGCAAACTCTGTTTGAGTAACTGAAAGGTTTTGCTCTCAATCTACAGACAATAATTCTTTAAACAACTGTATTAACTTAAACAACCTTAACAAAAGGAAGAAAACCTTCCTGAAGGTGGGCAAGGCATCAAATCAAGACTTTTGATTCACAATGGTGAGCCTTATGATGGAAAGCCAGCAGTACAAACTCTTGAAAGATTATGATATGCTTGGTCTGTAATTACCTGAACCCTCTTTGGGGAAGACGTTCTTAAAATATAAAGATAAGTTGGTCTATTGACTCAATTTCCCTACATGAGCTCCCCTGTTTCTTCAAGTCATGCTGCCTCTTGTTTTTTTCTAAGAGGATGAAACTGACAAGCAATACTAGCAAATATTCAGAAAACTTCCAATCCATTCAATATTAATCATTGCTGCAATGAAAACGTACTTTACTGAAACCATCATATTCATGCCCTATTATCAAAGTGATAAAAGACTTGTAACAATCTGCAAAAAGCATAGGGAATGGCACTGTTGGACAGGAAGAAGAACTGCTGTCATAGCAATGGCCAGGATTTGAGCAGTTCCAAGAAACTAGAGAAAACATCTCAGACAGGCTCCTCCCTAAGTCATACAAAAATAAAGTGAGGGAGGCAGAAACTACATTCAAACTTGCAAGATTCTGTTAGAATAAAAGCAGTATGGACCTATATTGCATTGGTTTCATGCTTTGGTCTATCTCAGTGGTTCTCAACCTGTGGGTCGGGACCCCATTTGGGGTCGATCGACCATTTCATGGGGGCCGCCAAGCAAGGTTGTCCGCCATTTTTTTTGCCCACCATTTTTTTTGTCCGCCATTTTTTCCCCCCTTTTCCGGCGGGTGCCTTACTCCCTTGGGCTGGGCCAGCTGGTGGTCGGCCTGCTCCGTCTCTGCCGCTTGCCAGCTACGCCTTGGCCGGCGCAGGGGGCGGAGCCACGCATTCGCGGCGCTCCCGGGCAGGGAAAGTCCTCGACTTACGACCGGTTGGGTAGTCCTTGACTTACGACCAGTTTAGTCCTCGACTTACGACCGGTTTAGTCCTCGACTTACGACCGGTTTAGTCCTCGACTTACGACTGGTTGGGGTCGCGGCATTAAAAAGGTTGAGAACCACTGGTCTATCTTATTGGGCTGACACTATTTAACTAATGAGTTACCCAGAATCACTTCTCATGAGATGGACAGCTATATACATTTGATTAATAATCAAATAAATAAATATGACAGAAATTGTGGGTGTCAGTTGTGATTAATTTGCAGGAAATCTTGTGAACAAAATAATTCATATTTATTCCAGCTTTAATGCCATAACTTATCAAAATCAGTGCCTATCTCTTCAACTTTTTTTTTTAATCTATAAGGTTCTTGAAGAGCTGAGAGACACCATGTTTTCTTAATCCCTCCTATCCAAATTGTCAGAATTGGACTGAATTACCAAAGCAGCATTAGTGTCACTGAGGAATGATTAAGTTTCAGCAACTTTGTAAAAGATCCTGCTTTTTCCAAAAGTACACATGAAATTTATCTTAAATATTTATATATACTACTATTTTCAAAATCTGAGGGCTGTTCATTAATCGAACAACAAGAAAACAATCCCTAATATGGCACTTCAGTTTTTTTTTCATACAGAGACCTCTAAAGTGCCAAATTCATTATGAGAATTATTAAGCTCAACTGGGCATTTTAAATTCAATCATTACATCTTAAATTCAATGAGTGCCACAGTTGCTGTTATCTGCCCATGCTTATCTTATTGTTAGGGATTGTTTTCTCATTGTCTGATTATGAACAACCCTCACATTTTTAACTTTTAATTTTTTTAACTTTAACTTCCTAACTGCAGGGCCAATTTGGTGTAATAGTTAATAGTGCTGGACTAGAAGTAGGGAGACTCAGACTCCCCAACCAGAAAAGCCAACAGTTACTTTCTCTCAGAGTTAGACTGGGAAATAAAAAAAAATTCTACCAGGTACTAGCAAAGCATTTTAAAAAATATTGCCAAAAACCTTGAATGGACCTGGTCCCACCTTTCCATGTAGTCATTAGGAGTCAAGACTGATTTACAGGACCATAACAACAATCTTATTATAAGCAATGGGTTCTCACTGTGCCTGGAAATACAGTATACAGTATCTGACAACACACTTAAGCAATTTGGCAAACTAGTTTGCAGGCTGCGTGTTCTAATCACTTGCAGAAGGACTTGGTAGCCCCTCACAGAGCTCTAGGAGTATGGGTTTGCCACTTAAAAACCATTTTGTAGTTAAGTATGAAATATGAGCAGTCAGTACCTATTGAAAAACAGGTATTACATTCTTTGAGGGATTCTGGTTTGTCTTATCTACCTTCTGGAGTATGTCAGTAATCTTCATAAAGTTTACTTTATGCTTATAAAACTAGAGAAAATACTTTCAGCAATTAATGATCAGTGACAAGAGGGACAGAAAATTCTGAGGTTCTGTCATGTTAATATAACTTACATAACTGTATAGGGAGCCCAGGAATGAAAAGACTATCAGAAATATCCCCATGGCTATCACAAAGGTTTGCACAATGTTATACTGAATACTTTCCCAGGTCAGTGAAAAGGAATTGTTCTTGTAATTTTTGCACAATAACGCACGTTATTTTAAACATACCTGCAGTTAAAACTGGGAGTGCCACAGGCTCATCTACAGCCTGTTTTTTTTTTGTAGGAGTAACTGGAGTAACTGGAGTAACTGGAACAGTAGTATGTACCTAGTGAAATAAAACATAAATTAAAACAAAATAACCAATGTTTATGCTTTAAACTTATTACAGCCAAAATAAATAAATAAAATTATGCGGGCAAGCCCCCTAGTGTTCCTTTGGGCAGACTGAGGAATGTAACTGAATTTAAGATGTGATTAAAGTTTCTTTGAAAGAATGCATGTTATCGGCTTCCTTCAAAAGAAGCAACCGGGCAATTGCTCCTGCAGAGGCCATATCTTGATTCAACTATAATTAACACTCTTCAGGGTTCAAAACTGGGCAAGGTTATCTCTAGCAAATGACTTTTATCTGGACTAGGAGGGAAGAAATACGCCCCTTATATTCCTATTAGACCTCTTAATATTATGTGACTATATTGACCATGGTTTTCTCCTGGATCACCAGTGACAGCTGGAAGTGGGATTACTGTTTTATAATAGTTCAGCTTCTTCGTAACAGAGCAGCTCTAGACAATAATTATTGGCCAGGGAAGTGATTCTGTCCATGGTCATACTATGGCTATTGCTATGCCTCACTTTTCTCCTTCCTGTTATTCAACATCTAGGTAAAACTGTTGGGAGAAGCAATCAATCAGTTCAGGATGATGTATCATCAATATACTTGGGATTCATTGCTCAGTCAGTGTCCCAGCCTTAGAAATGAGAGAAGCAGGAACCCAAAGCAGACCTTCTTGGGATGACTGTATGACAGTGGAAAAGCTTGCTCCCAATGCAGATTCTCTTCACACAGCTGAGCTTCAGAAAGGTATTATAATCAGGATTTTGCCCCCAGATATTTGAGGTCTAGTAGTTGAACTTGGGCTAACTTTTTTTGTTGGTTTTAATAGCCTATCCAATTCCTTTATTTAATATAAATTATTTTTAAAGTAATTTTTAGTTGAATGTTTCTCATGGGGATTAATGGCATTGTTTTTATTTCTTTATCTGTTTTCTGTACATTACCTATCATTTTGGGATATGGTGCTGTATTAATTTTATAATAATAAAATAGATAAATATCCTGCCAGTCTAGCAGGTTGTTAGTAATACCCAGTAAATTGAAGAAGCAATTCAATAGTAATTACTCCATTACTAGATTCAGCTCTGAACTATGATATCAGTGTTAACAATATCCAAATGATGAGATTTTAAGCAAAATGGGTTTCCAAAACAGATTTTACATAGAATATTATAATATTTTTGGCTATTTACCACAAACCTCTAATTTACTCTTCTTTTCTACCATTGGTACATTAATAAATCTAGTCGATTCCAAGTAGTGC